GAAACTCTCAGCTAAATTTAAACATTACACACACACTAACATTTAAAACGTGTAATCCAATTGTCATGTTTTAGCATTAACTGATATCGCAATAAGCAATCTTGAAAAAATTATGCTAAATGTAAAACAAAACAATGCTATATATAAAATATATTTATAATTAAATTCAATACTGAATTTGTGCTGATTATTGTACAGTAGACTCTCTCGTTTGCAATACAAAAAAAACTTGTTGCCTATTGTATGTTAAGCAATATATTTCTCAGATTTTAGCTAAGAGTGAGAGAAAAACTTAAGTTTTTATATATTATAAGTTATATATATATATTAATATAATACTTAAATATAATTCAATATGCTTTTTCATAGGCAATAAAAATTTTGCGGTGAATGGCCCTCAAGGGGTTGTTTTGCTCATATACTTATATATAACTTATATCACATATTATACACTGTATGCCATTGCCTACGCTGTGAATACCATCAAGTTTTTTGGTTAAACAAGAGTTGCATTGAATATCAAAAATTACTCAATAAGTAGGACAAAGTAAACTCATTTTATAAATAAACAGCTTTTAAGTCAACATTTTATAAATACTATAAATTCTCTCTCTCTCTCTCTCTCTCTCTCTCTCTCTCTCTCTCTCTTTCTCGCTTTAACTCAATGGTTCGCTAGTATATGTTTCCCTTAATTTAAAAAACACAACAACAAAAATATTATTTTTTAAATCACAAATAAATTATAATTTGAGGAAAATCTATTCATTTTTGAAAATGTATAAATAGATATATAATATATAAGCTCTGTAGTAATATAATTATTAAAATTATTATAATTAAATTATAAATATTAAATTTTAAAAAAATGTGTGCAACTTCTCAATAATAAAGTAACACTTTTTTCTCTATCTCTTTAACATTATATTATTTATTTAAAAAAATAGTTTCGTATCCTTCAATGGCATAGTACTATGTGGTAATACTGTATAATAATAATAATAATAATGTGTATATTAAATACAATTCAAGGACTTCATGTGCATGAGCTTAAGTGATACCAAAGAGAGAGAGAGAGAGAGAGAGAGAGAGAGAGAGAGAGAGAGAGAGAGAGAGAGAGAGAGAGAGAGAGAGAGAGAGAGAGAGAGAAGTCAACAGTGCTATCGTTTTTATAGATGTATTTGAACTTAAAAAAACTTTTTATATGTTATCTATTTTAATCAGTTGATCAAAAAAATTATTAAATTTTTCTCTGTTGGCTTAAATAAGCTAATAATTTCAACAAACAAAATGACAACAACATTACATTCTAGCATAAAATATAAATAAATAACAATATAATAAAAAACAATATGATATATTGAATTTAGGGAATCAATGACTGATTAAATCCAATGTATTTATATGAAAAAAAACATTAGTTAAATGACAAATCAATTCACAATATTTGCCTTTCATTGTAATTTAATTGTAAAGACATAGTGAGTTAGTTAGAGTTAGAGATAGAGAGCTAATAAAATTACAAAAAAAAACCTATGGTTTAGGAGATTTTTCATATGAAATGCAATTCAATGTTAACATTCAATACATTCATTTAATATAAAATATTATATAGTATGCAATGTAATGATAACAAAAAAAGACTATCATATAAATAATAATAAAAAAAATCTATAATAATTGCCATTTGTGTGTACAGTATAACTAACTCTGTTGCACGACATTTCAATGACATTCATATAGCAAATAATAATTATGTCTTCAATGTCTTTTACCACCAGTTTATTGTAGTTCAATAGATAATAATAAAATAAAGTGATGTCTCTCTGACTCTATTATACTATTGACTCTTAACTATTCAATATATTTATTAATAAAAAAATGTCATTTAATGTGCACACTATGTGTGTGTGTTTGTACTATTAGCGCACAGGTGTATCACATGTACCGTATACACTGTTATATAAACTGTGTCTACATTGTATAGTACAACATAGTAAAGTTAGACCACTTATAAATACAAGTGTACAGATAGGTTAATGTGACCTCTTTTACAACAACAAAAAAAATAAATAAAAAGTCAAACCCTAACCAACAACTACAACAAACAACAAGCATATCATTGAAATTACAACAATCTGATATATTTTATATACAATATATAAATTTATATATTTATGAATATCAATATTGTAATTCATAAAAAATAAATAAATTATTTATAGTAATTTATAATGATTATATCAAATTTCAATAACCTTTTAGATATCTATCAGAGTACTTGTACACTAAATTTATATTATAATTATAAATTATAATATAATAATTATGTCTGCCAATTAATTATAAAACCAATATTTTACAAAACATTTTATTATTAATTAATTAATAAACTGAGTTTTATTTGATTATATTTACTGTACTACAATGTACTGCAGTAGTAGTAGACATTAACCTAAAAGTTTAGGACTACTAAATCATTCAACACAACTGTCACTCAGATTTTCATATATAATATAAATTATATTTTAAATATATATATATATCGAAACATATGTTACTATAATATAATCAAATTTTTTAAAATATTATTTCTTTGGTCTTAAAAAATATTTAAAAATCAAGTGTTAAACTACAATATTCTATTGCATACCGTACTATACAATATATAAATTATATATATATATATGCTAAATGTGTATAACTCAAAACGTGTTAAATTAATTTTGTAAAATAGCATTAAAAGAGTTATCACTTTAATATGTTTGCTTATTATATAAATATATTTCAATAAAAAAAATTAAATAAATATTTTTAAGAGTGCGAGTGGTGGTCGTCCCACTAACCCAACTAAATACTGTGTGTATTATTCAATACATACACATACACACAAGTTTATTCATATATTTCATAATTTATATATTCAATATATATATATTAAAAATACAAAATATATTTCAATTTTATTATTATTCAACAAGTATCTGTGGTCTATGGGATGGCATAACAATTCAATTCAATAATACAAAAAAATATAAAGTTCAAAAAATATGCTACAATACAACACACACACAGACACAAAGTGCAATGTTAGTACAATAATAATAATAATAATAATAATAATAATACAGTAATATTTTTCTTAAATAACAGTACAATGTATTTCTTTTTTTCTCAAAATAATAATAAAAAACTACTTCAATGTTTTGTTATAATATTGAAACGGTTATATAATTATCATATGAATTGAACGCTAAGGGAGAAAGAGAGAGAGAGAGAGAGAGAGAGAGAGAGAGAGAGAGAGAGAGAGAGAGAGGAAAGGAGTGGAAGTGAGGGCTCAGTTAAGTTTTTTAGTATAACTACTATAAGGACTGGTAGTACCTGCGATTGAAAATCATCACATGATTAGTAGTGCGCAAAGCAATCAATAAATACGGACACTGTTTGTTGTTATCATTTTATTTTACGCGACGCGGAGGTCACACCAAAAAAAAATATCATATCATATATACAGTAATATCATAATATATTATATACAATATAATAATAATAAATAGCTAACTAAATAAATATACAACAACAAATGTAATTAAAATTTAATGAAATCCCCAAAAAATAGTAAACAACAATATTTTAGTATAGTAAATTAATGCAATTATTACAAATTAAATTTATTTAAATAAATAATATTGTGGGGTATTTATACCAACAAAAAAATCATTGATATATAAAATGGATGAACAGGTGTCTAAACTATATAAATACATATATAGTATATACATAAGAGATTTGTTATCAAATTTATATTACAAATTCAAGTGAGAGACACCTTCTCTCAAGGACTTTATATAATATTTGTATTATATTTGCAAATATGATATAAAAACCTTTTAAAGACATACATTATATTACAGTATTTTAGTAGACTAACTATCATTGAAAACTTGTATCATATATTTATTATATACAGTACTACTGTATACTATAGTATATAATATCAATCATTTCAGATCAAAATATCAATAATTTCTACTAACGATTTTCAAATAAGAGAGACAACAAAAAACAAACTATAAAATTATATATTTATTATAAAATGTGTAATAATTTCTTAGAAAAATTGTAGACAAGTTTTTTTATAGGTTAGAAAAGTACAGAAAACAATTTTTCTTATTTAGTGAAAGCAATTGAGAGATTAATTTAATATTAAATTGTTTTGATTATATATACTGTATATACAGTACACTATGTAATGGCATATATGCTAATAATGTAGTTGATATATAATTTCATTTATAATATATTTAGGTTATAATATGTTTTAACGATTTGAGTTTTTTTAGTTGTTTTTTTATAGTTCATACAACAAAATGTATAATCTGTTTGTCGTTTAATTTATATATACAGAATATATATATATATAATTTATATACACTGTGTTTGTGTTATTTTGAAAACAAAATTGTCTCTTCAATAGCTAAACAACAACAAGAAAATAATTTCCAAATTAATAAATGTTTCCTAAAAATCGCTTTTTAAAAAAAATCTATTCCGAGTATTAAAAGTTTTTAAAAACTTAACATCACTTCAATGAACAATGAGTTCGTCAATAATAAACATTAAATCATTATTATTGTTAATATATTAAATCAAACAATAATCGCATTATATATATACAGTATATAGTATATATTATATACAGCACTGCATATATTTTTAGAGATATTTCAAAATATAAATAATAATATTATTATTTAAAAATGAAATATAATATATAGAAGAAATAAAATACAGTACTTTTTAAAAATAATTTTTGACACATAAATCATATCTATAAATAAAATGATGAAATTTATTAAATAAAAAACAACAACAAAATATTAAATCTAAATAACCGATTACTGATAAATCACTAACACATGTGTGTATAGTTGTAAATCATGTCTTAAGAAATGTAATAATAAAAAAATAAATAAAAAGACAAGTAATAGGTTCTCACAAACCTTCTCGCAGTACATGAGTGATGGTATAGGTGTGTCCGTCGACGTCGTCATCAACTGATGATTGTCTTTGCGAACTGTACTCGACCTCCACTTCCACATCAGTAATGTCTGTTGAATCGGCTCTCGAAGATGACGATTGGCTTTCGATGGTCGTCTTCTTCGGATTCGGCCGTTTAAAACCCGAAGTACTGGCCACTGGTTCGTCATCTTCATTGACTGTAGTGTCTGGGGCTGTGGTTGAGTCCATTTCTACCGTTGACTTCTTATACTTTTATAATTTATTTTCTGATTATTGATTGATTTAATTTAAAAAGATTTCTTTTTATTTAATAAAATATATGATATMATCAACAAAATAACTATTTTTAAAACAAACAAAATTAATGTGACTATAAATCTACTTAATAATTAAAAAAAAAAAATCATTTGATTCAATCAATTAGGCCATTGATAAACATTATCACCCGATTTTCATCAACAATTATTGTCTATATAAATCTGATCACACATTTGGTTCATATATTTTAATCATATATATATATATTAGCAACAAATTGTCTTAAAACAACATAAAATATGACAATAATTATTAAATTTGTTTTTCAAAACTAAAAATAAATTTATTTAAAAAAAAGTCATTTAAAATTCACGTAATGTCAGCACATTGTCGCACATATCTATGTATAGACATCTATGGTATTGAATGGTGAGTTCAGTCATTAACAACAATAACAAAAAAAAAGTATATAAGCTCTCAAATTATAATTAAAACATTAATCGGTCGGTCGATCGGTAGGTCTCCCCATCAGACCAGTGGCCAATAAAGTAAAATTCATCGGCGATAATATCATATGACTGACCGCTCATTATGTTGTTGTTGTTTATATGTTATGGTAAACAACTGTGAGTACAGTGTAGTTGTTGTATATAAACACTGTGTGTATGTGTAGTCTAATATTGTAATGCTATTCATATGACATATTGTTTATATACACACACACTGTATGTATTACTACAACAGTACTACAGTGTAGGTTAGATGGCCTTCCAAACTGTAAACACTGGCCCATCAAAAAAACAAACAGCCCCTGTATGTCAACACAAGTGTATGATACACACAAATGAGAGCTGCTTCACTGCATTACACTAATGCACTACAGTTTAGGTGTGTGTTATGTGTTTACATCTACTATATAACACCACACGTGTGTGTGTGTGACGGCTGCGACTGATAACGAGATGACTACCATCGATGATGATGTTGTTGTTGGTATTGTTGGTGATAATACCAGTAGTAGTTTTGTAGATAAATTGATCGATAAGATGGTCGACAAGATTGCCAATAGAAACGATGTCTACTTCAAGAGTCAGCAAATAGGCGAAAGTGATCTAACTGTGGATGAAAAACGTCATATCGTCGACAAGTTGTTCAACGATAATAAACAAGTGTTTCTTCAACGATATGGCAATTGTCTGACCAAAGATGAGCTCAACTGTTTCGACCGATTTGACGACAATAGCGACGACCACAGAGTGATTGAAAGTTTATTGAAAATGTTGAGACAAAAGTTGAATAAAAGACAGACAACTGTAAAGAACCGGAGGTTTCAAATGGTAGACAAACTGATGACAAGCGGACATTATTTCAGTGATAGCGAAATGGAGTCGAGACAACCGGAACTGTTTGAACAAATGATTGGTCAATATATGACTGACGAGGAAAAGTCGAAACTAACGATTGAAAGATACGCACAAAATGAAGAACCAATAACATTGTCTTCGTTTCTGATGAAACATTTGGTTCAAACAAGTTGTCAAACAAGTGTTAATAATAATAATAATATTGAAGAATTTGATTCCGATAGCGATGATAATGATGAAGAAAATGATGACAACGGAGGTAGTAGTGGTGATTATGATGATAATGAAGAAGATAACAATGAAAGCAATGATAACCAAAGAAGTCAACCCGAAAATGATATATCAGAAGAACGAAAACTTGAATTGAGAGAAGAGTTTATGAAAATAATGTCCGAAAATTTTATCGACGGTAAAGATAAACAGTATTACGATTACAATGAATGCGATGAAAATTCTGAATTAGATTACAACCAAATGGCTGATAGAGATAATGAAGATAAATATTTTGATGATGAAGACGATGACTGACTAACTAGAACTTTTGGAACTTTGGAAAACAGTTGATCCCTATTTTGACATAGGGTTCACATAGAGGTCATAATCCAACAATAAATAATCGGAAATACCGTTAATTGACTGGATATCCAAAATAATGTATTTGACTAACGATTTATTATATTATATCTCCTAAGTGTTTAAAAATAATACATTAGACTTAAGCTAAGTGTTCGAATTGTTGACCAGTGGTTATTCACGCGCGTTTATCAACCAATCAAAATAGAGTTCTAATTTTCATTGTTATTGATATAATGTACAGTGTGTACAAAAAATAATGTGACTAAAAAATAATTTATAAATTTAAATATCTAATTATCATCAAATGGTAAAAATAGCTTAAGAAGTTGAGGAATAGATCCCATTATCATCAAATGGTAAAAATACTTTAAGAAGTTGAGGAATAGATCCAATTATCATCAAATGGTAAAAATACCTTAAGAAGTTGAGGAATAGATCTAATTATCATCAAATGGTAAAAATAGCTTAAGATGTTGAGGAATAGATCCAATTATCATCAAATGGTAAAAATAGCTTATGATGTATAGGAATAGATCCAATTATCATCAAATGTTAAAAATAGCCTAAGATGTTGAGGAATAGATCTAATTATCATCAAATGGTAAAAATAGCTTAAGAAGTTTAATAGATCTAGTTATCATCAAATGGTAAAAATAGCTGAAGAAGCTGGGGAATAAGTATAATTATCAAATGGTAAAAAACAACTGAAGAAGTTAATGACATGATGTTGATGTTTTGAGTGATGGCGTTAAATCTGTACTAATTAATTGTCCAGTTATTATAGATTGTATTTGTAGTAACTGGTTTAGTAAATCATCATTTTAATATTAATTAATAAACACACTGAATTATTAACATTTAAATGGTAATTATCATTTAAACAGCAGAATTAATATATTGATAAGGACAACGATGACATGCATTTGTTGATTGTCAGACATGTCGAATGACATAAAAATACAATCAATTCTTAAATAACTAGTAATAACTTAATTTACAAAACTTTTATAAAGTTAATTCAATGTTTTGGACCATTTTCTCAACATATCAGCTATTTTATCATTAGTTGATAACTGGACCTATTCCTCAACATCTTCAGCTATTTTTGCCATTAGATGATAATTGGATCTATTCATCAACTTCTTCAGCTATTTTTACCATTTGATGATAATTATACTTATTCCTCAACTTCTTAAGCTATTTTTACCATTTGATGATAATTATACTTATTCCTCAACTTCTTAAGCTATTTATACCATTTGATGATAATTGGATCTATTCCTCAACTTCTTCAGCTATTTTTACCATTTGATGATAATTGGATTAATTTCTCTACTTCTTCAGCTATTTTTACCATCTAATGATAATTGGATCCATTCCTCAACTTCTTCAGCTATTTTTACCATTTGATGATAATTGGATCCATTCCTCAACTTCTTCAGCTATTTTTACCATCTAATGATAATTGGATCCATTCCTCAACTTCTTCAGCTATTTTTACCATTTGATGATAATTGGATCCATTCCTCAACTTCTTCAGCTATTTTTACCATCTAATGATAATTGGATCCATTCCTCAACTTCTTCAGCTATTTTTACCATTTGATGATAATTGGATCAATTCCTCAACTTCTTTATATACAATTTTATATATTTAATAATATTACGTTAATTGATCACTATATCAAGTCACACACTGTACTAACAATTAAACGGTTAAACAATTAAATTAATTTTGATTGGTTAATATGAATTTGATTTTGATCACATGATTCTGTGACAAAGTCACAGTTTACGCAGTTAGCGACCATTCAATTTCTGTGACTTTGTCACTAATACTACGTCACGAGATATAATATATTAAAATTGTACTGAAAAACAACACACACTTTATTTTTGTTGTAAATTATACATTAAATATTACAAGTGATTACCCGAAAAAATAAATAATAATTATTATTATTAAGATTTAAGATTATAGATTTTATATATCAACTAATCAATCATTGATTCGGTGTTTTTTAATTAGCTGTTTCATTGAGCGTATGTTGAGATTATTACCGATAAATAACAATTATTGTGATCAACAATCACTATTTGATGGTATAGTGTATACAGTATATATGGCAATAGGTATAATGTAAAGTATACCCCGAATACCCCACACTAAAGCATTTACCGACAACATTATATTATTATTATTGTACATACGTTTCAATAAAATTATATTTACCGGTAATAATAAATTATAAAGAATGCAAAATATATATATTTGTTTTGTTTCTCTAATATACCCATTAAATAAAATTTTTAAAAAGAGTATATCATATTATATAAAATGATTATTAAATTTAGTTTTTTAAAAGTTTGTAAATTTCTAATTTAAAATTATTGTATTGTTGTTGATGTGGTTAACTATAAATCATCACTTTTTCGGTGTATGATATTCTTCAATRCAGAGATGACAACTCCAAGAGCCTTCCGGTGGTTCTGTGGTATAGAAATAATAGTTTTAATTATTTATTAATATGTGTTAACATATATTTCGRTAAACCCAATGTCTGTCTGTATTTACCCGATAGTGGAGGTGAGAGACAATACATATGATATCCTCGATCGCAGTCATCGCAGAAGAGCAATTGGTCCTAAAAAATGTCAATATAATAATTTATAAATTATTAATTAAATACAATCAATGATAATTAAAAATCAATGCAATTGAATAATCACATCATTGTCTGAAGTGCCGCACAGTCCGCAAGACTTGCATTCAATGCATTGCCACCGATATTTGGCAACAGATAAAACCATATTTGGGGTAAACTGAAGACAAGTCGGATGAGCCGATCGGCCGCAATCAGAACACGAGACCAATTCTTCTGCATTTTTTGTCTTCTTATTTTCGGCCGAATCACCCAAACAAAAGTCGCAGTACTGACTCGGAGAGGCCATTGGCTTACCGGAAATGCTGCCTTTTGAGCCTTCAAATTGAAATAATAACAGAGAATTATGTTATTAGTCGAGGAAGAGTCGACAAATAAAAGTTAATCCAAACCTTCACTATCGTCAGACTTTGGAGCACTACTACTACTACTATTACTATTATTATTAGGAGCCAATGATAATGATGATGAGGAATGTTGTGGTGGCATAGTTTGCGATGATGATGGCATTGGCGGCATWGTATGMGGTGCTGCTGCTGCTGATGGTGTCATACTGGTGAGTGTCTGTTGTTGTTGCTGTGGAAGTGAAGAAACAGGTGTTGATTGTTGAGGCAATGTCTGTGGTGGTTGTTGTGGATGTACCTGACGGGGTGGTGTGTATGGCATGTCTTCGTCATCCATAGGACCTCTAGACATGTTGTTGTTCGACGCGTTCGTTGCACTGTTCGAACTACCATTTGATCCATCGTTTTGATGGCTATGCGAATAGTGATATGAAAGACCGGGACGTGTCTTATATCGGGCGCCGCAAACGTCACACGAGAATGGTTTTTCTGCGTCCGAATACTCGACTCTTTTCCTTTTCGGTGTGTCTTTCTTTTTCTTCTTCTTTCTGGCCGAATATTCTTCGTAGTCATCAAAATCAGACTCGGGATCATCAAGTTCGCCGGCATCGGGCATATCATTGCCGTCATCAAAGTCCCGAAACCAAGACTCCTTTGACTCTTCGATAATCTTCTCGAACGTCTCGGCCGATTCCAGTCGACTATTGTTTTCGACAGTACTGTTACCAACTTCTTCGCCGCCATTGATTTCGATCTCGCGTTTGATTCGTTCTCTCAGATAGTTGTCATTCATAAGATATTGTCGTCTCTTTTTCTTCCATCGACGGGCCGGATACGAGTAGAGCTCAGCGTTGGTGTGGCCGGGCATTCGGTCCACTTTATCGGCCCATATATAGGAATCACCTGCAAGTGAATGAACAAAAGTGGTTAATATAACCAAATAAAACAATCAACGGCTGATTAAATTACTTTGCGCGACACCGGTCTGCGAGTCGAGAAATGGCAGCCGAAGACGTCTCTCATTGACGAGTCTGACATTAAATTTCGATGAATTCTTTATGGCGTCCATATATGACTGATCCGATAGGTGACTGTATTAAGACAATAGGATATATATATTTAATTTTCGTAATCATTATATCATCACAAAAATTATTGATTACTTTTTCAATTTGTTTAACACATCCGGACGTATGACAATGTCATCCATAGCTGGTATGTGTTTGTATGAACCGGTAATGACTGACCAATAAACCGACCGATTTTCTGATGGACCAGTTATTCGGTGATAATTCCAATGTCCGTACGATTAGAGTTAATCAACAAAAAAATCTATAGATTTATGATATGAATGACTGGTTTTTATTATTTTTTTGAAGCACTCATTGATTACCTCTTTGTTAGCCATTGTCTCGCATCAGATGGCAGTATAAGTAGTAGTTGTCGACTAATATTTGATTGGAAAACACATAGAGATTGCAGAAAATATTTGATTTAAAAATAAAAGTTGTGTTTAAACTTTAAAAGTAAAAATTTATAAATTAAAAAAAACTAAATTTAATAATCATTTTATAATAAATTAAAGATATTATAGTGTATATAATGGATGGATATATTAGTTAAACAATATCTAAGATATTGATTTCAAATACCAATACATTTAATTAACTATTAATAAACTAAATTATTTTTTAGGATAAAAACTCCACAAAAAACAATACGATTTAATAATACAAATCCGATAAAATAATTAAACGGTTATAATATTTATATAAAAATTTAATAATAATTCAATTATTGATTAAATAAAAACAACTAAAGAAAGTTTACCGACTCGGGTTCGGGAGCGGTGCCGGGCGTCGAGAGAAGAATGTAGATCTCTTGGTCCCTCTTATTCAGGGAGATATCACTCAAAGTGGTTGCAGTGGATGACTGACTGACTGACACTTGAAGTCGTCGAAACACTTAGTGTTGATCCGGAAGAAAAGCTAATCATTTGCCGAGACATCGGACACGTATTGTGTTTCGTTGCAATTCATCCATAAATACATTATTTGTGAAAACTGTGTCCACATTCAAGTACTTTAATCCCATATATAACATATGTACCAAAAAAAAACCATAAAATACTTACCTTAAGTATAATATATCGAAAAAAATAAACATTACTTCAATTAGTAAAGTAATAGAAATGATACATTGGGTTTAAAATTATTAAAATAATATTAATCTATTATTAATCTATCCTTTATTTTGTCAAATATTTCGTCTTCTATTATCAACTTTTTATTAGTGATTATTTGAAACTATTATGTAGTCTATTATGAAAATAATTTGAAAAAATAGTTTTAAGGGTATAATAAGATAATCATTACAATCACTAAATAGATGCCATTCAACCAAATCAGTTAATAAAAAATAATATCAAAATAAAACTATAAATAAATGAAAAGACAAACAGCAAAAATTTTAAGTCCAATTCAAATGGTTTTATTTACTTTTAATTTATTGTAATAAATCAACTAAAAAAAGAAGCCAAGAATTTTTCCACCCAAATGCTTCCTTCGGGCCTCTTCGTGGTCCATAATACCACCCGAAGTGGTCAGCACTAGAAAGCCGAACTGACGCGACGGCAACAGTTGTGCCAAATAGGACTCCAAGTTTCGGAGTTTCAAATCAAATCGGGGCGATATTACACCGCATTTGTTCAGTCGACCGGTTAGGTTGACCACAATTTTGCCACCCCGATGATCGTCCACTATCTCAAACTCGCCGATATAACCTTTTTTTAAAAAATGGACATTCAATTAGTCATTAAGTAATACGATTGTCGGTGTTATCGATGGTGTGGTGCATACATACCGTGTCTCATCATAACCTTCAAGAATTTGATGATCACTTTAGACGACGGCCTCAACAGCACCTGACGTTTGCCTCTCTTCTCTGCATTGTTTATACTTCTGAGAGCATCGGCCAACACATTCATGCGAACCATCTTTACTGTAGAGGAAGACAAACACAAAACAATTAGTTACAAACAAAACACACACCACTTCAGTGGCCAATCGTTTAGTCACAGAAACCACTGATTATATCGAAAAAGTTATCAAACAATAGTCAAACATTTGGACTAAACAACTGACACATAAATCGGTAAAGATATTGATTAATACATACCTTAATTATAGATCAAATTGTGGTGACAGTCACACAAGTGATCGCACTGTTCATCAATGTGTACMGGAAAAGGATGTTCAATACTAACACTGTTTGCAACCATACATATGCGGGCCATACATATAATCTATTACTATAGTAGACAAGCTATATTAGCGCCAAATTTAATAAAACTTTTTTTCATTAATAAATTAATTTGTTTAACTAATAAATTTATAATTATTTTAATTATCTAATTAGTGATTTTGTTTAAAATACAATTAAATTATAATAATGTTTAGATCTATCAATTTAAAATTGTTTGACTTTTTTTATGTTGATAAAAATTATTGGTAAATTAAAAAATTTTGTCACTCGTAAATGTTTTTTAAATTATGTCTAAAAAATTTATTTAATTTTCTCATTTAGATTAAATTACCGATAATTATATATATATATATATTTTTTGTCAATTTTGATTTGTAACGTAAAACTAAATAGTGATTTTCAATAAACACATAATTAAAAATTTTAAAGTTTATTACAATTTCATTATCAGTTTATTGAATTATAATAGTTGTTAACCTCAGCTAAAAAAAATTATCATTTAATAAATTAGGTTTCAATAGATATCAATCTCAAACCCATACAAACAAACATATGTGTTCATCAGGTTTGCCATTTTAAGACTATTAAATGAAGATATAAAACCTAACACCAAAACAGTTGGTACCAGAAAATTATTGGACAAAAAAAAGTTAACATAAATAATGATTATTTTTGTGTGTATTTTTGCCAAATCTTACTATAAATTTAACTAAATTTAGTGATTTTATATAATAACACAAACAATAGTGTGTCTGTTATTCAATAGTCATCAACGATGACAGCAACGACAATAACAAAGAGTATCATAATTTTTGAAAAAATTTATTATTTTTATCAAATATTAATTATTATTTTTTAGATTACAATAATATATTCAATCAATATCTTCAATCGGATGACAACTAAGACAAATCTAATCCAATGTCTTAAAACTGAATCATTTGTCCCTTTCGTTTCTTGTCTCCGCCGATCTCGAAATGTTTGCACCGTTTGATTGGCAACTGTTTTCTTGTCTTACATTCTGAACATTCCATTCTTAAGACAATCTTTTTAGTAGTCTTTGCCTTCTTTCTGAATATAGGTTTCGATTGTCCTCCAAAACCCTGTTGTTTACGATCGTAACGTCTCCTTCCCTGAGCCATCGATGACTCTTTGCCTTTCTTGTATTGGGTTACTTTGTGAACAGTATGTTTGCCACACTTGCCCTTACAGTAGGTCCGGCGTGTCTTCGGTACGTTTACCATCTTTAGTGTTGTTGTTGTTGTGGATCACTTGGAAGTGATGATCACTTTTTGATTGATACAAACAAACAAAATGTGTGGTAAACAGTGTTTGCAAAAGGAAAAGGAAGTCTAATATATATTATGTTATTATTTTTAGCAATGGATGACAACTACTACTACTAAAAACAGTTGGTTTAGTGTCGACACCTATGGATGGGTTGTTTTGGTTGGCATTTGAATGGCATTCAGTCAACCAATTATAGGTCGAATCATAACAAAAGTAATGCCAAACAGTGAACAATCATCCAATGACGAGGTGGCCGAGTGGTTAAGGCGATGGACTGCTAATCCATTGGGCTCTGCCCGCGTGGGTTCGAATCCCATCCTCGTCGATACTTTTTTGTATGTTTGACTAATTTTTTTTAAAAAATAGTTTGTAATACTTATTAATATATTTTTTTAAAAATATTACTAATGTTTAGTATTTATTAGGTTTTTTCCGATATACTAAAGTAGTATAAAGTATTTTAAATGATTTTTTTTGGTGGTATACATGTTATATATACCCACAAAATAATTGTCTCATTTTTTTTATAACTATATTAGTCTCCAGTTATTTAAATTCAATTATTTTTTTTGTGTTAAATATTTTTTTCTAACTTTTTTTCTAAATAAAGTGACAAACTTTTTACATTGAAATTATAATCACATTAATTGTTTGATCAATTAGTTGAACCGTTTTTTTGTCATGTCTTCACTCGACGACAGTGTAGTAATTATAACGTTTGATTGCAATGTTTGTCACCAAAGCTCAGACCTACTCATCGATAATCGATGTCCTCATTGCAACTCACGAGTAGTAGAGACAACCAGTGGTCAGAGCACATCATCAGAAGATGAACAAAACTCGCAATTGAGTGACCAATCGGTGGCGGATGAAAACGTGGTCAATATGTCTATCAAACTGTGCTCAATATGTTTGGACACATTAGCCGATGGGACTAAAGCTCTTAAATGTGGACACAGTTTTCACAAACAATGTATTTATGGATGGATTGCAACGAAACACAATACGTGTCCGTTGTGTCGCCAATTGATGGTTGTCTCTCAGCCCGTATTACCCGTAACTTTTGACAGCAGCCAGTCATCAACCACTGCAACACATTTGGATAATGAGATCCGACGGATAAGAATTGAGATCCGTCGGCGACTGACTGAGAATCGTATGATAAGAATTGAGATCAATCGTCTACTTAATCATCAATAATATATATAAATCTTTTAATTTTTTATTAATTAAATCAATATTTTAGTTTTTTTWAAATTGAATTTTTATATAATTATTATTAGTATTATTACTATTTAATTATTTTATCAAATTATTTGCAATATCATTGTATATCATATCATATGAAATGAAAATAAATATTATTCGTTTGTTGAGTTTTATCCAAAAAAAAAAATAATAATAAATTGTTTATTGTTTTTAATGTATTTGTAGTTAAAATTAAATATTATATCAATTTGTTTAATAGTTGACAAAAAAATAAACTTATATTGTTATTTTTTAGCTATCATTATTTTTTAATAATTTTTTTATTATTATTATGTGTGTGTGTTATACAAATTTCCCATAACATATAAACTATTGGTGTTATCATAATTTAAAATCTCAACAGAAAAAAAAGTTTTTTTTCATTAATTTTAATTATGGCTATAAAACACATCATAAAATTGTGTACACATATGATATTATACCTGTAATTTGATGATTTTTTTTTGATGATTACAGTTAACAACAGTTATGATAATTTTATTTTATATTTAGAGATGTGTCATTTTTTATTGTTTCAAAAAGTTTTTATAATATATTCAAAATATAAAATTATTATTATATATTATATTATTTTTTATTATTATCATTAAAATTTCTAATTGAGTATTTTATTTTAAGCAATTTTTTTTGTAGTAACTATTTATTGATATTAATACAGTTTATTATATAAATTTGTTAAAACTATTTTAATACTACTACTAATTAAAAATAAATAAATACTAATGATTAGCTAATAATATCTAAAAATAATGTGAAAAAATAATATTCAATTGTTTGTTTGATTAATATGTTGATCACTTATATATGGATATATTTAACCAATTGAATGGTCACCATCTGGTATCCATCATTCCTGGTCTATCTTTTTCGTCATTACCTTTCTTTTCGAAGAACATGTAATCGATGAGAATGGTTGCCGCCAACAGACAGGCCTTGGCTTTAACATCCATATCTAATGGAAAGACTACACCAAATATGTCCGCATCGGTAAACGTTTCTTTCAGTATACCCGACCATTGTTTGGTAATTCGGCCGACTTTGATGTCGCCGTTTTTGGATACGACTTGAAACTCGACATCTTGACAGAAGATACTGAACGTACAAAATGGTCCCAAAATTTTCAATATAACCTCTCCGTTGGCATCAATCACACGATAGGCTGGTCTCAAACAACTCCATTGTTGTTCAACGTGTCCGATGAGCTGTCCGGGAGGCGACTCTACTCTGACATATTGTAGACAACAGAAACAGTAACAATTGTCACATCTTAACGGTCGAGTCAGATGCATGACCTCCTGTTGGTTGGCGGCCATAATGCGCATCTCAAACGCCCGATTTGGTCCGCAACAGCATCGCGTACAGCAATCGGTGTTTTCCGAGGCCAGATAGATATTCTGGCCTAGGTTGTTTTGAATATCGTACTGATTATTTGTCTCAAAACCGGTCAACACTTCCAATAGTTCAACCTTTTGTTTAACTAACAGTTGGTCAACATAGAGAAGATATTCGAGTCCTTGTGGACAGCCTATAGGTCTGAGATTAGATGCCGGAGTCGGCAGTGGCATCGGTTGCGGTGATATCGGCTGTTGCGGTGGTGTTAATACCCGCCGTTGTCGTGATGTCTGTGCTCTTTGAGTCATTTTTTTTGTTGCTGTTCAGTCAAAATAGTAGTTTTGGGTATTGTATAGTATAGCTGCCACTTGTTGTTCACGCGATTAATATTTAATACAATTTTAAAGATAAATATATGAATGTCTCGTGAATTACTATTAATTTTATTGTAAATTAGAGAATATTTTCTTTGTTAAGTTTTTCTTGAAAGTTATGTTTCTTTTGAAAGCTATGACTTAAATTTAGTGAACAAAATGATTAATCTAAAGACATTATTTAGACTAATACTTGTCTCACAGGAGACAATGATTAACTGGTGTATAACAATGGGTTTATTATTAGCAACTAAAAAGTGTCCCATTTGTGACAACGAAATGGTAAATAATTAATTTGCAAAAAAATACATTAAAAAATTATTTTCGTAGAAGATAATTGTCAAACAATTATCGTACCGGTGCCACCAAAAGCATGGACAACCTCATGATTATAGACTAAGTGCTTTGAATAATACGTGGTTTTCTGGATCAAAGTTTAGCATTGAAAACATAATAATCTTGACGTACCTGTTTCGGTCGGCACAACAAAATATGAGGACATTAAACGAGAAACAAGTGATTTAACTAAAACAACATCTCATAACACTATAAGTGATTGGCTTAACTTTTGTCGAGAAGTGGTATTTGATTGGGTCGAAAAATATCAATCAGTTGATCTCTTAGGAGGAGAAGGTAGTATATGATACATATTTAATTATGCACGTTACCTAAACCTAATTATAATGGTAATACCAAACTGATAGTGTATTAGTGTTTGCTCTGTTACCTAACCTGGAGTTCCGACCGCAACCTAAACCTAATTATAATGGTAATACCAAACTGATAGTGTATTAGTGTTTGCTCTGTTACCTAACCTGGAGTTCCGACCGCAACCTAAACCTAATTATAATGGTAATACCAAACTGATAGTGTATTAGTGTTTGCTCTGTTACCTAACCTGGAGTTCCGACCGCAACCTAAACCTAATTATAATGGTAATACCAAACTCATAGTGTATTAGTGTTTGCTCTGTTACTAACCTGGAGTTCCGACCGCAACCTAAACCTAATTATAATGGAAATACCAAACTGATAGTGTATTAGTGTTTGCTCTGTTACCTAACCTGGAGTTCCGACCGCAACCTAAACCTAATTATAATGGTAATACCAAACTGATAGTGTATTAGTGTTTGCTCTGTTACCTAACCTGGAGTTCCGAAACCTAAACCTAATTATAATGATAATATTTTGATAACTTTTAATTCAGGAGTTGTCGTAGAAATTGACGAAACAAAAGTTGGTAAAAGAAAGTACAATAGAGGTCGACTAGTTGATGGGACGTGGATTTTAGGTTTAGTTGAGATTCAAATAATTGTCGACGTGGAGGTAGATTTCGTTTAGAAATATGTCCCCTAAATAAAAGAGATGCCGACACTCTTTTACCTTTGATACGTAAGCATGTAAAAATTGGGACAACTATTGTGTCTGACTGTTGGGCTGGATATTATAGACTAACAGACAATGGTATAAATGATAGATAAAACAATTATTAAGTTAATTAATTTTTTAATTTTTAGGTTTTGTCCATTTTACTGTGAATCATTCGAAAGAGTTTGTCAATTCACATACCGGTGCAAACACACAGACCATTGAATCTCAATGGAGAGCTATGAAACGCAATCTTTTAAGAGGGGGTATACCACAAGATAACCTTTATCTACATTTAGCCGAATATCTTTGGCGCCGACACGTACTTCACAACAATTTAGATAATTTTATTTTTTTTATTGATTGTATAAAACAATTATACAACCCTTTAATGTAATTTTAATTACAGTATATACAGGTATATATATATTAATTTGCAATGTAAAATATTATTTCATAATAATATATTTATATTTAATAAAATCTATTGTAATTAACGCGATATTCGTATATTTAACAAAATTGTATTAAATATTAATCGCGTGAATACTATACAACAGCCGTAGTTTTAACTGAATTTATTCATAAATTTTTACATAAACTAAAATATGTTTATTTGAATTATTAATTAAACTAAAACATTTTTTGGCGCGTGAACTGTATATTCAATATTCAATATATAATATTATTTTTAAAAATATTATTGAATATCAAAAATATAATTTAATATAAATAAAAAATTAAGTAGTAAAATGAAAATTTCAAGTCATTTATAAATTTACATCAATATATTTATTTAATCAATTTTTCAATTAAATATGTATAATTATGATAATAAATTTAACTAAATAAAATGTTTAAAAGCTTTTAAAAAAAACAATCCAGTTTATATATAGTTTTTTTTAACTAAAAAAGTTTACTAATAATAATATATGAAAATATATACACATTATTTTAAAATATATAATAAAATTTTATAATAAAATATTCATCCAAAAAAGCAATATATTTTTATGTATCAATTGTTTGCAATATATTATTTTTTAAAAAACAAACTTTTATATAATAATAATTATAATAATAATAATAATTTGTCATAAATTTAAGTATGTTTGTAAAAAAATTAATATATTATTTATATATATATTATTTATGTACCGGTTTATAACGTATAACAACAATCCATTATTAATATATAGTCTCTCTTTCTCTCTCTCATCTAATCTAAAAAATATTATAATTTATAATGAAATTCATAATATAATATAACTCAACAAATATTTGTGTTTTATGCTAAACACAAAATTACATTAATATAATAATAATAATAATAATCAATAATAATAATCATTTTATAATTACAATAAAAATAACAACAAATTCTTTATATTTAATTAAATTAAATATAAATGACAACTAATTTTTGTTTGAAACCCTGAAATGTTCCCATTTATTGCAACTTTTCATTAATGAAAAATATATAAATAAATTTTTAAATAGATATACTGAATATCTATTTTATTTATTATTGTCAATTACTAAATATATAAAATTCATTAATTATAAGGCAATCATCGTTTTGTTTTTTGTTTTAATTGATCAAAGTTAAGGCATATATGGTATGTCATAATTGTATGATTAAAAAAAATCGCACAACAAATTTGTAGACCAATTTGTATTATAATTATTTTGTTTGTTTGCATCCATTTGGCAGTCAATTTTTTAATTAATATTATAAAAAAAAAAACTAAAATTTTTTATACGATTTGATTCAATCAATCAATCAATAATTCGATAACTAATGTATTAATTAAATTTTTTTATATATAAAAAAAGTTATGAGTTATTTAAGTAATTTATAAAAAAATTTTACAATATTTCTCTGGTCTCGGCTAAGGCTGCAATCAATTCGGAACTAAATTTATTATCACAGGAATGGTTAATATGTTGCGGATGACAGTCATTCAGTTTGTTGGTCTGACTCTCGCTATGGACTCCCTGTTGTGGGTTGGCTTCGGATGAGTGATGGCTATTATTATTATTATTAATTAAATGATCCAAATCGTGATTTTGCGATAGACTATCAAATAATAGGCTATCATTGTGATGGGCGGCCGATGCCATCGGGCCTGACATGTAATAGCTATTATAATTGTTGTTGTGATGATGACTGTCCACCGAGTGGTTGTTCTCGATGCCAATCATATCGGCGTTTGGTTTAAGCTCAGAGTTTGTGTCCATTTCGTACATATAGTGTCGGCCATCGCGCATATAGTTGTGAATGTGCTGCGATTGTTGTGACCAATTGCTCGACAGTATGGCACGAGACTGGCCACTGGGCTGTTCTAACTGGTGCTGAAGCATAGATCTCGAAGTATAAACATCAGGCGATGTCTCATTTAGGCCATCGCTGCCGCCAGTCTGATGTTGCTGATGATGGGCTGGCATTCGGTACCGATATGGTGGACACACATTACGCAAAAACGATGACCTGTCTGTACCGAACTGCGAGATCAATTGACTTACAGGATTCTCTGGTGCACCACTTCTGAACATAGGTCCAGACTTGTGGGCAACCATTTGTTGATTATACATGGCTTGCGATTGATTAGTCGATTCAGTTGTCTGTATAGACAACGGTCGCGATATATTTGACTGATATGAAAGCATTTGTTGTTGTTGTTGGTGGTGGTGTTGTTGTTGTTGTTGTTGTGAGGGTGTGTTATGCATATTATGGTTATGATAGTGAATCTGCTGATGATTTTGTTGCTGCGAGTCTTTATCGTTAGATTCAACCGGTGACATCTCAGGTGTGGGAAGCGATCGTATAGACTCAGTTAGTTGTTGTGTATTACTACTACTAGTGTTGTTTTGTGGCATATTTCCAAACTCCTGGTGCAATTCCCCACCGATCGATGACACGCCTTTGGCCAGCGATAGACTGCACTCGTCTCTTGTATACATAACAGTGTTGTGGTTGTTGTTAGAGCAGCCAAATGTATCCATCATTCGGTTGTTTCGCATCATAGGCTCACCAATACTTTGATTGAATGGACTTCCGTGTGGTGACGATTCAGGAGTCTGTACGCCACAGTACTCTAGAGAGGGAGAGCTTAGTGAGGCGTTGTCCGGATTGTTGTTGTCCACCATATGGGCACCGGATGCCGGACCTCCTGATTGCGATCCATAGATTGCCATCAGTCCGATATTGTCGCTCATTGTCAGACCGTCGCAGTGGACAGCACCGCGACCGCCGCCGCGGCCACTACGTTTGCCGTGCTTTCGACGACGGGGTCGGTACTTATAATTAGGATAGTCTTGCATGTGTTGGACACGTAGCCGTTCGGCTTCCTCCACATATGGCCGCCTTTCTTGAGGCGTCAGGTTTTTCCATTTTTTGCCTGAATTTTCGTGAAAAACGAAACCAAAAAAAATAAATAAATAAAATAAAATAAGCGAAAGAAAATAATAATAAAACTAATGATAATAATAATAATTAGAATTAAAATTAAAATCAGATGAAAGAAATTATATAATTAAAAAATAAACTAAAGCTTATCTTTAATTTAAATAATATCGTTTTTTCGAGGAAATAAATACTAGAAGATGGGGTCAAACTCTACAAATCACTATCAAATTGGGGAGGAATGGGAGGGTCAGCACAGGTAGAGTAATATACAGATTGTTAAATGGCAGCTGATATAAGTCAAAGAGAGAGAGAGAGAGAGATTTCATATCTTCAGAAAAACGTGTTTTAATATTTCATTTCTTTCACTATCTTTTTAATCGGTTTCATATATAATATATATTTAATGCCAATTCATAGGCCGGTCAACGAAGACTAGGTCTTGACTTCAATTTTATTATTATTTTATTTTTTTTTTGATTCAATCAATTCAATCACCAAAAAAAATGAAAAGATATAACCCATGAGTTTTCTTGTGGTAGTTTTGGTTTGGTTTGTATATACTGTATGTATGTGTAAGTACTGACTAATGTATTGTGCAATATATTTAAAGTCGTGATGAGAGTCGCACCTAATTAAAGAGCGGCGCCTCTACTAAATGGTGAACACCTAAAACACCCTTATTTGAGACAGTATTTCTCTCGTAGAGCCGATTGATGGTATGCATGCTATTCATTGCGGGCCAACACACACACACACACACACACATCCCAATGCTCTAACAGGTCTTATAAAAAAAAACACTGAATACATGACATGACAACAAAAATGCCAACTAATCAAACAAATAGCTTAGACTGCAATGTCAAATGGGTTCACATAATTGGCCGCTAATTTTGATCGCTTATATAACCATTTTTTAAGATAACAACACCACAACACAAAAAAGATCTGTATGTGTTTTATAGATATAATAATGTTTTACGTCAACAAAACTTATATATATATATACATGTATATATATAATAGTATAACTTATATAATCAACTTTTTATAGTTAAATATAACTTAAATATTCACTATTTATACAAAATTCAAGTTAATTAATGCATAAAATTTAAGTCTTAGGATCTCATTCTTATCAAACGTTTTGATGTATTCCCCCAAAAATGGGAAGATATGTGGTGTGTGTGTGTGTGTGTGTGTGTATGGCTATAGCTATGGCTGTCATAAGATTAAACAATAATTATATGTTACGCTCAGGTATTCAATTACATAAGATGATCGAAAAGCATAGGACAGCTGGAGTGGAGCTCAAGGAATAGGTATATATATGCACACACATAGCATATACACACACTATTAGGTAAGTACAGTATATTGCAATTGCAGGATTGGAAATAGGGATAGGGATGCGCTATAAGATTTTGATCACGCATTACAAGCACCGGGATTTCACTGGGGATTACACCACATCATACATACACAAGCCTTCGATTCACTTGTGCTGAACCGTAATTCCTCTACAAAATATATATTATATAAAAAACTTTTTATTTTTATTTTTAATTATTAATAGCCAAAATATTTCATCAATCATTGTATATACACATCGAAAGTATCGAAAATATGTATGAAAAATAAAATACACACAAATATATTTAGTTAAATAATATTTTATCTTTTTTTGTGAACCGGAAGTGCTCTGTGGTATAACTGATTGCCATTTGAGACAATCCGGAGATAATGTATTGATATATGATATTTTTTTGGTGGTATCATTGATATCTATCATATAATACTGTACAACCATATTATGGTGTATAATATGTGTAACAGGCATGAGATTGGGTGTTACACACATATGCCTACAACAAGTGTATACCTTTATATACCTGTATAAACATTTATTAAATATATGTATATATTTGGTTAAAGATGAGTCTCTCTCTCTCTCTCTCTCTCTCTCTTCTTTCTTGTATTAATATATTTGAGTCAACTATAGGTCAGGTAAAAGACTTCATGGATACAGGCGTTCAATTTTTTTGCAATGAGATAGAGATAGATAGATAGATACCTGTGGGTGGGATATCACACATTTGTTTTACTTCAGCACACATTCAATGAGTTGAACTAAAAAACATTTATAACAAACAAGAAAAAGAAGAAGTAATAGAAAAAAACCTCAAATATATATATATATATATAAAATATTTTTCAAATATTAACTCAATATATGTTTTTTTATAAAAATAATTGTTTGTCTTCAGATAGTTTTTTTTTAAAAATGTTTGTTTCACTCATTCATTCATTTATTGTATACCAGATCTCTAGTCAATTGGAAAGTTAATGGTTTACAATGTGTGGGATAGGGATATCATTATTATTATTATGAAAAATAAAACTGTGGGACAGTTTATGGTATGGTTTGATATCCAGTGATAATGTATTCAATATACAGTATATATCACATTGATGTTGATTATTAGAGTCGTGAGCACTACATATTTAAATGAGTACTTTTTATGATATGACCTGTTAGTGATAATTGTTAAGCATTTAATAATAATAATAATAATAATATGCATAATAACATTATAATATATATATATATATAAGACACTAATACTACTTTGCGTATAAATCACTATTAATTTTTATCAAAAACATTATTATACATATATAAATTATATATAAATCATAGGGCATAGGGCTTGTTATACTGTGTGTGTGTGTGTGTGTGTGTGTGTGTGTGTGTGTGTGTGTGTGTGTGTGTGTATCGGTATGTGTTTGTATTAGTATATACGGTACAATATAATTAACATACAGTATGTATGTATGCATGTGTGTGTGTGTGTGTGTGTGTGTGTGTGTGTGTGTATTAGGGAAAGGAGTTAACGTTTAAATTCATTGATTCATTCATTAAAATCAGAGTTTGTTGTTATTTTTTTGTTTGATATATAAATACATTAAGCGATTAATCACTTTTTCTCGTATATTTTTATATAWAAATATATCTAAACAGTGTGTTTGTGTTGCTTTTTATAATTAATTTAGCCATAAATTAAATGCTATCAATAAAAAACACGACTCGAGTCATATTTCTTGTTACTATTGAATATAATATACACTAAATTTTACTATTTTATTATTATTATTATTATTATTAAAGAGATGGTAAAAGTAATGTTAAGTTGATTTCCAATTCAAAGAGCGTAAATGGCTTCGGGTTATGTAGTGTTGTAGTGATTACATAATCTGGTAATCATGTCACGTATAGGTAACAGTGTTGTGTGGTGTGTATACTGTATATATATATTTAATGGCTGGGCTCCACCACCACCACAATATACTGTAGTGAAATATTTGAGAGCATATATGAGAAAAAGTATGTCTAACTGTTTGCTAGGTTGGCCTAAATACTGGACAGAGCGAGACTGAGTAGGGAATTATATCTAATTTTTTTATTATTTTAAATACTTATTATTATTACAATTAATTATTATTGTTTTTAATTGCATTCATCACACACATAGAGATAGATAGAGACTCTCTAGTAATGCAATCAAATGTAATCTCAAATTATTTTTTTATAACTAATTTTCATTATTACAGGCGTTTTCCCTTCAGGTTTAGCTCTTCTTCTTATTCTTCTATTTCTAAACTTTTTCTTCTTCTTCTTATTCTTTCTTCTTATAGCTCATACCCTCTCTTATATATATATATATATACCTCTCTTCCCACATATTATTATAAGATCGAGATTTAGGTAACTGTGAGTTACACATACTGTAGTCGGAGTAGTCATTCAAAAAATATATATATATATAAAATATAAGCTAAGACTTCGGGTCATTGTTTTATTATCACATTCTTGTTTGCCATTAAATCAAGATTTAAACACTAGATTCCAACACAATTATCAAAATGCTGGCCCATCCAAGTCATAAGCATATATACAGTAATATGCTGTATGCCTACAATAGCTGCCTGTCCTGCCCTCCTATCCTGACTTTTACTACAAAATTGAACGGTGCCTTCAATTTTAATACATACTTATATATAAAACTTTAAATATATTTAGAGTCTATTTCTATAAAACTTTAATAACTTAACAAAAAGCACTTAATTCGGGTGCCATAAATAACTCATTCAAAATATAACAACACATTTAAAAAAATAAAATAAAATAAAAATTATATATTATTTATTAATTATATATCGAATTATTATTAAATTTCTTAGGCAATAATAAATATAAAAAAAATTAAAAAAAATACTAAAGCCATTACTACAACAAATATATAAAAATATATATATATAATAATAAATCTTTATCTCTATGGAGAATAATATATAAATTTTAATTTTGAAAATAAATTAAACTTTGAGTACAAGTGTGTGGTGCCAAAAGAAAGCGGTATAACATGAGATTCGAGGCATATATATATAGCAAAAAATAAAATAAATAATAATAAAAAAAAAAAAAAAATAACAACAACAACAACAAAACAAAACAATAATTGCAATATGCAGTACTCAATAACTAGTTTTTGATCCTTTAGTTTATTATATAACCAGCAAAATACTGTACATACGGTATATTAAAAAAAAGTTGGCCATAACTCACATCTAACATCTCACAGCAAAATAGGGTTTACAAACACAAAAACAATCATTTAATGGCATTTAATGCCATATACTCTACACTACTATCTATCTCTCTCTTTATTACTACTGATTTACCGATTTTTCAGTCAATCGTTTGATTGTTTTCAGTAGTTGACTGTTTGCTGTTTTTCTCTTATCATTTATATGTGTAATGCATATTTCTCTCTCTCTCTCTCTCTCTCTCTCTCTCTCTTGAATATATATATAATATATTATATAATATAAAAATTTTCAGATAAAAATTTGCTGAAAATTTTTTAGTATTTTTTCCTCAATTGGGATGAAATGCCAAGAATTAAGTCAAATATGGCATAACGTGTGAAA